TCGAAGAGGATTAACTCGGTCGTCTCGGCCGAGACGGCTATATCGCATTAGTCGAACAAGTGCTTCGGCGAATACGTCTTCCGGATGCGTCTGTCTCGCGGAGACACGCACGACCTATTCCACGTGACCTCCTAATTAGTCGCGTCGCGCTCATCCGGCGCGATAAAGCGACCATGATTTATCGATCACGCTGATATCACACCTTCCTCAATCTTCTTGTCCGCGTGAGCAATTATTACGTCAGCGGGCACGGCGACATGCGTTTTATCGCGATCAATGTCGCCGTATGTGCCCGCCGATTAAATATTCTTCTATTATCGTCCTCCCACGATCCGCGCACACCGTGAATTCGTTGCATCGCGGCGAACGAATCCTCCGCCGCGAGGGCCCCCTCCCCCCCTCCCCCTCCCACCGCACCCCCCTTTGTAACCCTTTCTCTCTCTTCCTCTCATCCCTCTCTCGCATCGGTACGTCGGTGGATCGATGACCGGCGATCAGCCCGGTGCACACCGCGACACCATCCTACTTCCTCCATTCGTACCATCGGCTCGTCGCGTCGTGTGCCGCCTGGATGCAGGGGCCTCGACATTTTGACGGCTTCTCTCGGTGCGACCTACTGCGCGCCACCCCCTGGCTTCCTCTCTCCTCTTATATCTCCGCCAGCCACCCTCTTGCCGTGGTCACCGCGCGTTACACGCGCGCAGATGCACGTGAATTCGGACGACGCGCCGCGCCGTCGATGCTCGATGGCGCTTCGATGCGGTCTCCGCCGCTTCCCGGTGATGTTAATTGACCACTCGGGACACCCGCCCCGACTGAAATTGGCATCGATTACATTATCGGCGGACGGTTGAAAACGAGGACGGAAAATTGCGTCGATATTTGTCGTGAGTGAGCGTTTCGAAGCCGAGACACGACGAAACGCGAATCAAAATGTGTAGAAGGCGTAGATAAAAAATTAAATTTAATATTATATATAAGGTAAAGAAACGATAAATGCAACAAGCGACTATAATTGAAGAAAATTAAATATTTCCAATCAAAATTTAGTTTGTGTCATATTCATTTATTATTTTAATATTTAAATATTAAATCATTTCACGTGTATATTTATAATTATCCAACATATCAATGACTTATGTTCAACTTTTAAATATGTTTTAGTATAGATATTAATATATTTATTTATTTAATATTAATATTTTTTATAGTTATAAGTTATTTTTACAGGTTTTTGTCATTTTAACAGCGTTATTAAATTAACGATTAATTAATTCAGTTGTGAGGTTAGTATTTCCGTTAATGATTATGTTTCAGATCCGACAAATCGAATCGACATATAGAGAGAACTGATAATTATACTTATATATTCACACACATATAAATATTACTAAACATCAAGACCCGCTTTAGCCGAAAATGGCTTTCTTTTGCTATTTGTGTTTAAATAACACTTCTCGATTGGTTTTCACATTTAATATTGTTTTATATTTATCCCTAAGAAATTCAAACTCTATTATGTAAAGAAAGAAAATACACGCTAATTATAATGCGAATAATAAAACGCCACGTACATATAAACGAAATGCGTAGTGAAATTGTAGGATGATTACCTAACCGCGCGTGTTAGTGAAACGGTAATTTGCGGTCGGTTCGAAGAAACGAGGAAGGATCTGTCTGAACAGTACCGGCTACGAGAGATACGGACAAAAATAATACGTATCGATCTATAACGGGTTAACTATCTTTACTACCCCTTGAACGACGCAGCTGTATAATCAGTTTAAAAAAATCGGCTATTTCAACTATTCTCACGGCAACTCCTATTTTTTTTTGAGAAAAATTTACAATAAAAAATAAAAATATATATTTTAACTTTTCCATCTCTTTCGCGTGAAATTATTTAATTGGAAAAATTGCAAAGATTTGTATTCGTAACAAATGCAATTTTACATCATCTTGACGAAATATGATATTACAGCAATTTTTACAACGCTAGAAAGAGACGGGATGAGCGAATGCAAATTGGTGAAAAAAATAGAGAGGTACGCGAAAATCGACCGAAAGTTAGAAGGCTAGTCGGCACCGCTCGGCGACGAGTATACGCTTACACGCGCTCGCATCAAATGTGGCGACGTCCTCTCGCGCACGAATGCGCGGTAGCAACGCGGGATATACGAAGCATAATCGCTCGCTAGTTCGCTCACTCGCTCGCTCAGCTCCGGTGGGTGTAGGCAGAAGGTAGGTAGAGCCGGCGGTCGTGTATCGGGCAGGTTCCTGGAGTCGCGTCGCAATCAATACCTCTGGTTTCTCTCTCCGCCGTTCCCACCCGCGCGGTCTCCCTGCGTCACTCACCCGAGAATATTTCTCTCCGCTCGCCACCCTGTACCTCGACCCGCAAAACTCGCATCCTCCCGCGACCACCCCCTTTACCGCCCCCGCGAGGATCGTTCACGCTTGTCCTCGTCACCACCGCTGCTGTCGCCATGGCCGTCATCGTCGTCGTCGTCATTTGCGACCTACGAATCGTACGATACCGATTTTTTGCGCCCTCATTTAATATGAACTTTATTAAAGATCTGACATTTCAGTCACAACGACATTTCGATCATGTATATAATAAGCTAAAAAGAGATAATCGAAGATTACTTTACATTATAATACTATCAATCAACAGCGTTACTACGATTTACTAATCGTAATACGTAAGCATGTATCCCTTTCTGATAGAGGGATAATGTCACGTTGCAAATGATATCGATGGGACCAAGTGATGTGTGCACCTGAATCAATGACAATCATTAGGGGTGAGACGTTAGTGCTGATACGCGGTGTGGCTTCTCGCTTTTCGTCGGCTGATAACGCGGATAGACTTATCGCCGGCGATCGATATCTAATCCAACCTGGCTATTTATAGTCGGTAGCCCCACACTTTGGGATGTTGTGCGCAAAGTGTGAAAGTAACAAGACTTTCTAATTTTAGAGACCCGCCGCCTCTCGATAGCCCACGACGCATTCCAATCATTTTTGTCTTTTTTCAATCATTTGTGTTTTTCGTTAACGTTATTTTTTATTTCCTCCCATCATTCGTTATTCTTCCTACTGTAAGGATACGATAATTCATCACATAGCTACGTAGCAGAAGTATGTAGCGCACCCCATGAGCATTCGGATAAATCAGAAAATGATGTTCGATCCAGGACGTCGATTCTAGATCTCGAATCAAGATGAAAATTACAAAAGCGAGCAAATTTATTATATATTGACCATGAAATTATAAATGTTCTAGTTTGCTCTCATTTTTGTAATTTTCACCTTGTTTTAAGATTTATCTCCATTATCTCCAAATATTTACGTGTAAATGACCACATTGAAAAGAACTGTAGGTTACAGGATACATACCAGGATACTTTCTCTTATGCTCCCTGTCTACTTCACGCGCCAGTGCAAAATATTTTTCCTTCACATCCTTTGACATGTTTTTCCAGAAAATGCCTAGCCTAAAAAATGCATAATAAAACGAAATTACTTTATTTCCAAATTATTATTTCACGTACAAGTTTTGTCTAAGACGTATAGAGATTGAAAAAAAAAAAAATATAATATTTATATTTCTTAGCATCTTCTCAGTATAACAAGTGGAGTATTCGCGATTTATGAACACACATTTGGAGCTTTACCACAATTATTTCCTTCCTAAACTCGGATTTTCAAGATTGAAAAAAATTTCTATAAAAATTATATATTTATGCAGAAACAAATGTGTCTTTTAAAAGTGAAACTAGCCTGACACTGATGTCCTTATTGGATTCCCGAGGATTCTCCGCAGCTAGTTTCCTCCGCCACTCATTGGCGAACAGCATAAAAGCGTTTGCCGGTCTTGGGATCTTGCGTTTAACTCCAACCGCCGTCGCATCGACAAATTTGTTGTTATCGATGCATAATAACGTCTGAATACTGGTACTTTTGCGTTTCGGCGATCGATTTGCCTGCGTCCGCTGCTGTTGTCGAGGAAAAATCTTGTCTACCTCACGACTGCCACACGATTGCTTCGACTCACTGGAAATGCGCTTTATCTTCACATTCTCCTTATCGTCGTCGTCGACGTCGTCGTCATCGTTATCGAAATTCTTCTCTTCGAGAGAATGCATAGAAGAGATAACATCTAGGAAGCTCATGTTATTATTGATCTTCTTATTCTTCAAATGTTCATTGGAAGCGAGCGGTTTTGTCTCTGTCGGTGATACCACAACGATGACTTTTCCACGATCGATGCTGTTGCGAATACATTCTTTGTCTTCACAAATTTCCCTCGGTTTATCTAAACGTATTATATAAAATATATTATTTCAGATCATTCTCCTTGAAGGATGTAATATTCCATCGAGTCTTTAATACCATTCATAAACGTAGCAGTATTATCGAAACATTACATTATTTTCTGTCGTTAATAATCGTCTGACTATTAAAAATTCTTTAGATTTGTCTCTCTTGATTTTTAAATATAAAATATAAAATTGTACAGCATTTCTACTTTAAACCGTTTTAAGATATTTCATGCGATAGTTTACGCTTTGCATTATTCAATACGTGTTTAGCCGTGCGCTCCGAGCAATTGTCGCGTCATGAAATGTTTAGGGACCTAACGCGATTTTATACGCTTACCTTTTACGGCGAAATTCGAGACACGTTTGCGAGTCTCCATAGCGATAAAATTTGTCGATTAGACTCGCCGTTGGGGAAAGTCAACCGTTGTGCCAATTTCGTATATTGTTATCCACATCTAAGAATGTACTTGAACCTCTTGATAATGGTGAAACGTCGACACGCAAACACAGACTACCGTTGTCGTCGGTTATTGAAAACACGAAACGATGCTCCGATCGTCTTATTACATCATTGATCGTCATCCCTCTGTCCCGATCAACGATGCTGCAGGAAATAAAAGACATTCGCTCTAACTAAGCGTCATTTTTCAAAAAAATAGATATAGGTTTTTCGCACAATTGCTTTTCGGCATGGTTTCTCAAACTTCGAAGAGTGATCTGAATATAAATGTGTCAGGCGGTAAATGTACGTGCACCCAACATGGCATGAACTATTACAAAGTTTTGTCGTTGGGGTGGAATTGTAACAATACGGAAATCAAGGAAGCGTAAGCTTTCAATAATTTTTTATATGAATACGTAAAAATAGAGTTCTATTAATTCTTAATAACCTATTACTATTAATTTTTAATAACCTATTACAGGGCGGGACATGTGTATTTGAAATACTTTTTTTTAAAAAACTGTATTTGTAAGACAATTGTATCTTGTATTTTGTATTTCAGCTGAGCGCATGAAAATGTTTTATTTTATATTCCAGGGAAGTATATAAAAGTATTTTGTATTTTATATTTCAGTATTAATAAAGAAAGATTGAAAATATTTTATATTTTATATTTTGTACTTTAAATACTAAGATTGACAATTAATCTTATTATTTCATAGTTACAAAATACATAAAACATTCAATTTTTCGATTTATTAATACAATGTACATAAATACTTTCATATACACTTGAAATACAAAATATAAATATATACATATACAAGTACACTTGTATTGTAGAAACAGTGTTTTAAATAAAAGTAATTCAAACACATGCTTAGTCCTGACCTATTATCGGTTCATTTTTCTCATTCTTCTCCTTCCTCTTTCTATCTCATCTTATTTTTATTAATAATATTAAAAATATTTTTACACAAAATATATATATATATGATACGAAATATTTTTTCTTTATAATATACATGATATTTTGCATGAAAAATTTTTAAGTGTTATATTTTTTTTATTATATTACAGCAGTATTATATTACATATATACGCTTTTACAATATTATATTAATCGTATGGTTTATGGTAAAAAATGATGATAAAAAGAGATGAGACGTATCGCACCGACGAAATATAATATATAGTTTCTTTCAGATACCGACGATGTGCTATACGATACAATCCCGCGCGGCAAAAGAACGGAGGTGCTGAGGCGATTTTCGCCTTAGCAGCTGAAGCGTACGACGTGCTCTCGGATCCACTTAGAAGGGCCGTGTATGATCAATACGGTGAAGAGGGTCTTAAAAATGGTGTGTCGAGACCAGAAAGATTCGTGAAACCTTACGTTTATCACGGCGAGCCGATGCGAACCTTTAGGTGGAACCATTGAGCTCTCAATTTATGTATTCTAAGTTTAATATTGACATCGCGGTCACACAATGAGATATATGTACATTAAAGCTTACTTTTCTTCAGAGAAGAAAATGGATATTTATTTTCTGAAATAAATATTTATTGAAAATATTCGATAAATTTCACACCTAAAATTAAGCTTTCAGTATTCTAGGAGTTAATGTTCTCATCGCGAGTTTTATCATTAGAGAATTCTTTGCGACTGAAAATCCGTACGACGATCTTCTAAATATTCTAACAGAACCTCAACCTCTACTCGAATTTCCCGAGGGTCGGGGTATAAAACGGAAGGAGGAACCCTTGATTAAAACCCTATTTCTAACTCTTTCGGAAGTGAGAATTGATTTATAAACTTTTTCGCTCCGACTTTTAATTCTATTTATTATGTGAACATCTCGGTGAACATAAATATACATAGTATAAGTATTTTTCTAATCTTTTATATATTTATTAACACAAAATTATTAAAAAATTGCAAATTGTATTTGTTTTTTCTGTGATGAATTTATTAAGAACATCATCGAATTTTGACTTTAAGATTTTGTACAAAATGATAAAAGTCAAATTAAACATGAATTATATAATTTTCGTATAATTATATAATTTTCGTATAATTTAACGTACAAAAATGTTGTAAGAAACGAAAAATAAAATAATCTATTGCATAATCGGGCAGTTGGAAACGTTTCATCGTAGGTATTTTTCGGCGGAATAAAGAAAATGAAGATCCAAAGGTTGGTTTTACTCGGTGACGATAAGTCGATGACGGCGTCGATGGAGAAGATCTTGACGATACCCATTAAGCCGGGAATCCCAGCAGGTACCAGAATAGTATTTCCAGAAGAGGGTGATCAAAGTCCTTCGAAGATACCCGGTAAGTTCTTCCATTGCCTTCTTGATCTTTCCTAAGCTTAGCTTACGCTTGTAACCACGCTGGAGTGTTACCTACTATATAATTGCGATAATAAAACAAATAATAAAACATTTTCTTTGTAGCTGTCTCTTTCCCTTAGTTTCGGGTTTTTATCATATTATATTTTTATACTTAATCGTAAAAGCAAACGATTTCCTACATTTAAAAAAAAACGATGTTCTTCAGAATTTAAGTTCAATCATTGTATTATAAATTGTATCCTTTAATAAGTGACAAAACAATAATTACGCATGGTTTCCGCATATAATATATTTTTACGCACAACAAGGTAATGGAAAATAATATAAAAAATCACAATGAAATAGATTTGCGTAATTGATAAATTGATGATACAATCAAAGATGAGACGACTGATCAATTTATGACTATTGTTACATAACAATGTGAGTTCTGCAGAATAAGGGTAAAAGATTAATTGTAACATACACAAGATGGAGTGATATCTTCACTAAATCCAAGACACTGTCAGCGTAGCGGATGTTATCTTCGTCACGGAGGATCGGCCTCACGAAACGTTCTGGCGAGAGGGTTCGGACTTGCACACGACGGTCGATATCTTTCTGAGGGAGGCGCTGACCGGAACGGTGATCACGCTTAACACCATCGACGACAGAACTCTTCGGATTCCAATAACGTCGATCGTTACGTAGGAAAAGTTGTTATAAAATTGCGTCGTGTCTCTTTCGGTTTTCTCTTTCTCTCTCAAATGCATTTTATTGCATTATCTTTTAGATTATAATTTATTCTAAATTTCCAAAAGGATTGGAGTAATTTCGTGTAAAAGATTACTCGAAATCGTCACAAATCTTATTATTTAATTTTGATTAAATTTTGTTTAATTTACAGAATTAAAGTTAAACAGCTTTATGAATATATTAGAAGAAAAAAAACAGGACAAATGAGAGTACAGCGCGGTACCAATCACAGTCGATTATTTTTCTCGCATTCAACTATGATTGATCAATTTCTTACGGCTTTTTAGAGCGAGGTTGTGGATCCAGCCATACAATTAGTAAAAATTAAACATAGATATATTTAACTTCAGAGCTCGTCCGTACTTTCATTATTCCTATTTCTCTTCTAATATTTTTTAATTTTGAGACTTAACCTTATTAAGTACTTTATTTGAATTTTATGAATGTTACCTAAATTTTTACTTACCTTTGCATCTTATAGACCAAATTACACCAAATGTGTGCCGGGTGAGGGAATGCCAATTCTCATAAATCCTAAGCGAAAGGGTAATCTAATATTGAGGTTCAACATCGAGTTTCCAGTTTATTTGCCATTGTCCAATAAAAATTATATTAAGAAAGCCTTCGAGGCATCTCGTACGAATGTTGAAAATGCCGAGTACGTTCATCGCCTCATATTGGCCAACAAAATGCGCAGAAATGTCGACGACGACGTTCCATTTCGACGTGGTGTAAACGATGAAGCGGATCGATTGAAATTCATATGTGAAACGTGATTTTGCAAATATCTGAGTGTTATTTCATATGCGTATTTGACGTAATAATCGTACGTTTTTCGTCGTCGAATTACTCTACAAGAAAGTATTAAAAATTAAAACTGCTCGAAAATGGTTTCTTCTGTAACTGATTATTTTATTGCAATAAGTATAATTATTAGGTCTATAACTTAATTCTTAGTCATTTTTACCAAGTTTTGATGTAAAATTATAAATATAAAAGAACGAATATTAACCTAATGTTCAAAGTAATCCCCTTTATTTTTCATACATTTTCGGCAACACATCTTTCAGGCAACTGTCGGATTCCGCTTCGGGAAAAAGATGATTGTTTTAAATCCGATGAATTCTATGCTTCTTTCGACTTCTTTGAGAGACTTAAACTGGGAATCACACAACTGAATAATGTTGGAGGGTTCGGAAAAAAAAGGTAATCCGTAGATGTGCTAGGTCCGAAAAATACGCCGTGTGATGGAGAATTTCCTAGCTTGAATCGGAGATGACTTCGTTGATTTAATGATTTTTCTATGTGCGACCGTGCATTGTCTTGCAGCAAAATCACTTTACTTCTTCCAGCGCCAGTATATGTTCTTTTTACTTCGAGAGCGTCACTCTTATTCAAATCAATTGCTGTTGATAACGTTCAGCAGTGATCATTTTCTCAGGTTATAGCTTATTGTAAACAACGCCCTTCTGTTCCCATCAAATATTATAGATTACAAAATAATACACGATTCGAAAATGTAAGAAACTATTTTGTACGTGTACATTTAATTATATTCTATTATCTTGGCTCGACATATTTTTTTATTTAAAAAAGATATTGAAATGATATTGCTTGTTAAAAATTAGAGCGTTTTTATTTATCATTTATAAACAATTACGTAGATAATTTGCGGAAATCCTCCCTTCTGTAATATCATTACACTAAATTGACACTACTGCAGCGGAATCCTCTAAATGTCTTATCGATGATTGTCGCTATCGTTAATTAGCGACAACCGATTATAGTAGGACAATCCTAAAAGAAAGCGCGGCTCTCATTGGCTGTCTCTAGTTAACTATA